CAGCCTTGATAAGAGTGGCTGGCTGGACCCCAACCATGCACGAATTCGTGCACTGAGCCTCTAGTATGCATATAAAATCTTTGTTTAATCCCTTCCTGCTCCCCCACCCCCTTCCCTCTGAAAATTGTCAGTCTATTCCATTTCCATGCCTCTGATTTTACTATATTTTATTCCCTTTCCACTTCTCCGCCCTTCTTATCTGTCTCTATGTGGCTTCTTCTGTAAAGCCTTGGTTATAATATTTCAATTGGTTTTTCAGGTTGGTTGCTCTGTAATTTAGCTATAAATCTGATTTGGGGCTGGGAGCAAGTGGGCACAGCTTCCAGCTACTCTTCAGCCATCTTGGAATCTATCCTGTAATTTCTCCTTTACATAAAATACTCATCCTGTTTCAAAACCACATGATTTCTGAAAAAGATACAAAAGCTGTTTTCAGCTCAGTAGTTTACCCCCATGTATGCAGTAATTCCTTCCACTATTTTCCTTTATGTAACACGTATTAAGATAGTGTGGTATTTAAAGGGTGGCATAAAATTGAAACAAATGTCTGAAAATTCACTATGTCATATTTGCAAGTAGCAGTTGAGATGTGGAAATGAAATTTTCTGTTTAGGAATAGCTATTGATATGGATTGAATGTTTGTGTTCCCTCAAAATACTTATGTTGAAAGCCCAATGCCTAATGCATAAGGTGATGGTATTAACAGGAGGAACCTCTGGGAGGTGATTAGGTAATGAGGGCAGAACCTGATGAATAGGATTAGTGTCCTTATAAAGAGGCTTGAGAGAGGTCCCTGGCCTCTTCTACCATGTGTGGACAGTGAGAAGATGGCCCTCTGCAACCAGGAAGAGGGCTCTCACCAGGAACCAACTATGCTGCACCCTGATCTCAGACTTCCGAGCTCCCAGAACTGTGAGAAATAAATTTCTGTTGTTTATAAGCACCCAGTCTGCGGTATTTCTGTTATGGACTGCAGAGTAGTAAATACTTTATTAAAAATGGACTAAGACAGCTAAGTTTTTAATAAAAGTATTTAAAAATATGATCAGTGCAAATCTAAGGTAACTGAGCCCCTCTGGCCAAATAACCAGGATGATACTATCAGTTTTCTATACCAGTATTCACTGCTTTTGGTTTTACCCAGATAGTAAAAGTATATTATCAAGATATTTGTCTCAATAAAGAAAAACATATTCTTTCTTTTCTTTTGATGCCTCAATCTGCATGCCATGAAGAATAGAAGTATTTCCATTCAGGAGTCTATGAGGCATTTTGTTTATTAATGGTAGGAATACACTGTAGATATCTCACATGAAAACTGAAGTCACAGAAATTATTCAAATTCCTCTTCATTAAAAAAGAAAAATGAGTGTTTATTTGAACTTCGTTAACATTGTGATGAAGAAGCATCATTGAAAAGAAGCCATATGTCATTTACTACTTTGCAGCCCCTCATTTTCAGACTATTCATGAGGCAAGTCATCTTTTTATTCCTGCATATTCATACCCTATCTAATAATAGACAAACATGGTAATTAACCGTACCTCCGGCACGCTTCCCATTGGCTAATCAGGGCAATATGCAAATTAACGGCCAACCAAGATGGCGGCCGGCAGCCACGCATCTGAAGCGAACAGGAGGCTTGCTTGCTCCAGTGCAGGAGGAAGCCAAGGTTCCCCGCCTGCCGCTGCTGGGCTCTGAGCTTGCACTCTAAGAAACAATGTTGCAATTATCGAAGCTAAACAAACCCCATGCTTTCAGCCAGCCGGCTGAGCTGGAGTTGCAACAGTGTTTCAATTATAGAAGCCAAACAAACGCAGATACCTGTTTTCAGCAGCCGAGGTCTCAGAGCTGGAGCCGAGCCTCAGAGCTAAAGCCGGCTCTCAGTTCCAGTGACAGCTATAGAAGGTAAATAAATCCCAGAATTAAAAAAAAAAGAAAAAAAGGAGAGGTTGGGAGCTTCAGTCCCCCGCCAGCCTGAAAATGGCCCTCAGCCCCTCACCCAGGCTGGCCAGGCATCCAAGCGGGACCCCCACCCTGAAGGGGGTGTGACCAGCTGCAAACAGCCATCATCCCCTCATCCAGGCTGGCCAGGCATCCAAGCGGGACCCCCACCCTGAAGGGGGTGTGACCAGCTGCAAACAGCCATCATCCCCTCATCCAGGCTGGCCAGGCATCCAAGCGGGACCCCCACCCTGAAGGGGGTGTGACCAG